TGTTGATGAGGGAGAATTTTTACCGTATGGAAACTATTACTTTTGAAGGAGGACATTCTCTTCGCATCGGATTCTTTGTTTCATTGTATAGTCAGAAACAGTGATGTTTGAAATATATTCAATTAACTGTGCCTAACATTTCACGACATCAAACAGGCCTACCCCAAAAATCAGCATTCAAAATCAGAGATATTATGTAAAATCGAATATCAATCACTGACATTATAATTATTTCAGTTTTGAACTTATAATAAATTCGGCTTGTGACATATTCACACACACACACACATATATATATATATATATATATATATATATATATATATATATATATATATATGTGTGTGTGTGTGTGTGTGTGTGTGTGTGATATAAATATAGTTTAAAGTTAATCCATGCTATATTTATGGGTAAAAGTGTTTAATATAAGGGATAGATTGTATGTAAATATAAAAGTGAATACTGGATTCAACACCGACCGGCTATAGTTTGTTCATGCTTAACGTAATTTTCAGACTGAAGATTGCGTTCAAGTATGAAACAGACTGTCGGTGCTCAGTGTTGACTTCAGTGGCCAGTTTTAAGTGTGTGTGTGTGTGTCTCTGTGTGTGTCTGTGTGTGCGTGTGTGTGAAAAATATTGATAATGAACAGTTAAAGAGTGTGGGGGCGATAGAGGGGGCGAGGAAGAGAGCAAGAGGTGAGGGTGGGTAATTGGGGAGAAATTATAAAGAACAACAATAATTTTCATAATTTTCTTTCGGATAAACTATTCTGAATTTGATTTCATGATGTTTGACTACTAAATTAATGTAAGTTAACCAGTTTAATTAGTGTTAAAACTAAAATGGTCCAGAATTACCAATATTTTATTATAGCGATCTTTCAAGCGTAGCTCAGATGTGGCACAAGAACGAAAGTATGCGGCACCCAGTGAGTGTCGAACTCACTATTCAGTCGTAATTGTTCTAGTGAGACAAGCTTACTAACCATTACCGCAATTCGAGGTTCCCAACCGATATTGTATTATATTATAACTCGATGCCGTTCACTATTATGTCTGAAAAACTTTAGGAATTCGTCAACTGGCCTCTAGCAGCTCTAATATATATTTTTCCTATATAAAGATTCAATCTTCGAGTCCTTAATAGATCCAAACACCGAGTGATTTAAAGCACAAGTGGCTAAAATATTCCAGCTTCGAGTGGCTAACAGATTCAAACCTCAAGTGGTTACTAGATTCTAAACTTCGAATTTAACAGATTCAAACATCAATAGATAGATTCGAACTTGCAGTGCCTAACAGATTCTAAACTTCGAGTGTCTAACAGACTCAAATATTGAGTGGCTAACAGATTCTAAACCTCAGGTGTCTAATCGATTCAAACCTCGCGTCTCTAGTAGATTTAAACCTCGAATAGGTAAAAGATTCAAACCTCGAGTGGCCAATAGATTAAATCCTAGAATGTCTAACAGATTCAAACATCAAGTGGCTAATAGATTTGAACCTCAAGTGTCGTCTAACAGATTCAAACCTTGAGTGTCTAAAAAGTCATGTCTCGAGTGGCTAAAACTTGATTGGCTGATAGATTAAAATCTAGAGTAACTGATTGAGTGGTAACAGATACAAACCTCAAGTCTCTAACAAATTTAAACCACGAGTGGCTAACATATTCAAACCGCGAGTGGCTAAAAGATTCAAATAGTCGATTGACATTACATTTGAATAGTTGGAGATTATAGCCATCAAGGAAACAAGAAAAGAGTAGAAGTTTCCATAGGCGAGTATTAGAGTAAAAGAGACGGCTACATTTAACAGTTTCGACAGTGAAAGGGTAAGAGCGAGACCCCAGCCTAGTTGAACGCTTCAGTTCATGAAGTCAAGGAACCAGCGAAAGTAGCTCATTGGAGCAGTTACCGTGAAAGTATATGTAAAAAAGACAGAGGGAGGCGACGGCACGTCTGTGAGAGAGCGAATGCAGACGAGATGCCAGATCAGGGCCAGTTACATTGTATATCCGTCTCTGGATTTTATCAAGAATCTTGAGACAAACAGAAGGAGCTCCAGACCATATATGGCAGCAATACTCCATGCAAGGGTGAATGTTTGATTTGTAGATTTGAAGGATCGATTCCGGCGAGAAAAATTTCCTGGCGCCGCACAGGGAGCCCACTTTCCTTGCGGTGGACGAATGTATTTGTTCCATCTCAGGTCAGCAGACAATGTGAGACCGAGCAGTCGAAAAGAGGTGCTCTCGTGGAGTTGAGCGTCAGACATTCTAATAAGAGGCAGTGATGGTTCTCTGTAGTGAGTAATAGAGAGCAATTTTGTTTTTGAGACATGAAAGTTAACCAGCCAATTCCTACCCTAGCCCACAACCGATTGGAGGTCCTTTTCGAGACAAGCGGCCAGGTTAGTTTTGTCAGCGACACTAGATTTGTTTTTGAGGGAGGAGTAAATAGTAATGTCATCGGCATATGACATCAGAAAAATCGTTAATGAAGATAAGGAACAGAGTAGAGCCTAGGATAGAGCCTTGGGGAACACATGCGTTCGTGGGATAGGAGCTGGAGGAGAATCCGTTGAGAACGACCTTCAATACATGATTTAAGAGGAATGATTGTATTAAGTCAAACAATCGACCTGAAATTCCATAACCCTGAAGCTTGCGAAGAAGGCCGGCATGCCAAACACTATCAAACGCTTTGGAGATATCTAGAGCCACGACATGAGCTTCTCCGTCATTATGAAGTGCTTGGTAACCAATTTAAGTTATGGCCGTAAGTACATCAGCTGTAGAACGGGCAAAATAGAAACCATATTGCTTGTCGGAGAGCAGATCATGGGATGTAAGGTGCTTAACCACTTCGGCGTTGATTAAAGCTTCGAAGAATTTGTTGAAAAGTGGTAGGAGACTGATAGGACGATAATTAGAAGGGTCTTCAGAGTTTTTAAAGACATGAACAATGGATGAGGACTTCCAACAGGCTGGAAAACAAAATTCATTGAGGCAGTAGTTATATAATTTGGAGAGGACAGCGGCCAGTTCAGGCGCACATTTCTTCAGGTCAGTGGCTGGTATCCCGTCTCCACAAGGTGGAGACGGGATACCAGCCTTGTGGTGGTCTAATTTAGAGATAATGCCCAATACCGATGACGGGGTTACGTGCAACTCGTTCAGTAGAGCCTCAGTTCTAGGGGGGAAATCGGGTGTGAGTACATCGAAAGAATCGTGTGTTGAATTGAATGAGAAATTCCGAGCAAAGCATTCAGCCTTGTCGGCAGAAGAGGTCAGAATCTCAAACTGGTTGAACAAAGGAGGTATAGAGGGTTTGCTATTGTTAAGTACGCTCTTGCAGAGACGCCAATAATCCTTGGAGCCTAATTTGCGAGATGCAATACGTTCTTTCATTCGAGCAGCAAATAGTGACTTAGCTTCCTTGAGGACACGCTTACACTCGTTAGGAGCAGACAGAAACAAAGAGATGTCTATTGCAGTCAGACATGTCACTACGATATAGATGGAAGAAGGGATTCCTATGGGCAATGGCAGCTGAGCAAGCAGCGGAAAACAAAGGGGAGGAGCACGATTTGACCTTATATTTCCTTGAAGGAATGAAAGCCTCGATTCCAGCTTTAACCCAGGAGGAGACTTCGGAAGCACATTCTTGAACGGGGAGCGTAAAGACAACATCCCAGGAAATCCCGGAACGAGTCCCAGTCTGCCCATTGATAGCAGAAGGAGGTTCTAGTGGTAGGAGGTTCTTTGCAGGGGGTAAAGTTGAAGGCGATGTTGACAGACACTACAGTATAATCCGAGTTTCCAAGTATGGCGCTACAGGACTTGGGGATGGATGTAAAACATAGATCGAGAACAGAATCCTTGCCGTCCAGGTTGAAAGGAAAACGTGTGAGGAAGTCAACTATTTGCGTGAGGGACTGAGAAATTGAAAAATTAAGGAATTGCAAGTTCAGTAGTAGCATTTTTCAGCCACTTGGTATGATGGGCGTTAAAATCACCAAACACGAATATATGAGAAAATGAATGGAGAGAAAGAGCCTTATCAATGTTGTCAGAAATGCATTCGATTACATCACAGTCTTGGGAGGATGGAGAGTGATAAAGGAAGAAGATGTACCTTACAGCATTGAGAAGAGATAGCCGGAGACACATGTACAAATGGTCTGGAGATTCAAGAGACAGCTCTCTAGCCAGCGGAAGATGGTCCTTGACGTAAACTCCAAGGCCATGCATGTGGGTTTGAGAGTCTTTTCTGAAGAGAGGAAGGTAGTCGGGGATTGAGAGGTCAGAGGAGCAGATAGACGAGTCACGGTTGGTCACACAGAGAGCCAGTATATCAGAGCAGTTCGCAATGAGCTAAGATTCCACAATGCAGAAATTGGTTCTAATGTCAAAGGTTAAAGGGTTTAGGTGATTTTTAAGGGCTGGTTTAGGTTTTCTTTTTGGATCGTCGTTAGTTATCATGATGTGTAATTACAGTAGTAAAAATGAGAAGGCCTGAAGTAGAAAAAGCAGACGGTTATCGGTCGTGACGTGGGCAGAGAGAAGTTGGCGCAGCCTGCAACATAATGTGGCCTCAGGGTTGGCCACCGGAGTTAGGTTCACGTGCTGTCCAAGACGAATTTTTTTTTTTTGGTGGGCAGATTTCTAACGAAGCGACTTTCAGAGACTGTGTGTGTGTGTGTGTGTGTGTGTGTGTGTGTGTGTGTGTGTGTGTGTGTGTGTGTGTGTGTGTGTTCATAACTACAAATGCTCTATTTCTGATATTGGTCACTCTTCCCCCAATAGA